GCTTTTTCATACCTCAAACTTCTGGGCCTCGAGCCGCAGCTTGTCTATATTTTGGATGACTTCTGTTAATTTGTGGTCCAAACTGGCTGGGTCTCCCATCTGAGGGTTCTTCAGGTACACGTCCTTCATCTTGGTGATGGCCTCTCTGGAAAAAGGGAGCAGACGGAGGGGGAGGCTGATGCCACCAGCCAGTCACATTCTCCGATCACCCTGGAAACCACGTGACTGGGAGACGGGTTGGGAGTGTGGGTGGGAAGGGAATATCGGGGTCAGCCCCCCTGAAACTTCTCCTTAGGAACCCTGCTCCCCGGGTCCATGTCATCCAGAGACCGATATTAAAACTCCAGCTGCCTTCTCGGGATGGGCCCTCCCCCTGCCTGCAGCCAGTAAGACGTATAAGTCAATCCAGACAAAATCCAAGCATTTCCACGCGCGAACGCTCCTACAAACCGAAGCTGTCGCTGGCCTCCTGGGTCTGCGGGCTGCAAGATGTTCAAGTCACGAAGAAGCCCGGCTAATCGCTTTGGAAATGTTATTACACACTATTTCAACTACCAAGAAATGGAACCCAGCCCGGCCGGCATGGCTCAGTGGCTGAGCGTCGCCCCATGAACCAGGAGGTCACGGTTTGATTCCCGGTCAGGGCACATGCCCAGGTTGTGGGCTTGATCACCAGTGTGGGGCCTTCAGGAGGCAGCTGATCAATGATTCTCTCTCATCATTGATGTTTCTATCTCTTTCTCCCTCTCCCTTCTTCTCTGAAATCAATAAAAATTTTTTTTTTTTTAAAAAGGAATGGAACCCACAGTTGGTATCCATGGCAGGTGGGCCACAGGGCCTCGAAGCCGCATTCTGTGGACCCCACACCTTCCTGAGACCGTGTTTGGGAGCCACACGCCACAGCCTGCACAAGGGGCCTAGACGCGCACGCATGCTCAGCTCGGGCTCTGTCCAGCACCAAAGAGCTCGGGGAACTTGAACTCTGGCTTAGGGGGCTCTCAGTGGGGCTTGAGTGGTTAGCAGTTTAGAGCAATGAGAAATCGAAGCCAATGATACAACACAAGACTGAGCCATGGGAAACAGTTTAACTGAAAACACAAATAGCAGGAAGAGAATGTCCACGGCCCTCACCACCCCCCTGCCCACTTCCTCGCACCTCAGCTCGTATCCTGCCGGCCACATGGGCTTCTGGGAACCGCCTGCTCCCCCTGAGGCCACCTCCCATTGGAGCCCTCAGCCCACTGCACCGCCAGCCCAACTGGCTCTCCTTCCTTTTTCTTCACAGCATGCACCGCCCCCAACATCACATAATTATGCTTATTTGCTTACTGTCTGTTTCTTCCGACTAGAAAATATGGAGCCGCTACAGTGGGGGCCTGGAGCAGCGCCTCCCCAGAGCAAGGACATACTGACGCCCCTAGGGCTGGGTGTGTCTAAGACACACTGTATTTGTTTTCTAGACACTATCAAGCTCTCTACAAAGATAAGAGGCTAATTGTGACTGACTGAAGTAGGAAGACAAGGACATTTTGGACCCAAAGCTAGGATGTGGGGGCAGGAAGAGGGTGGGGGCAGGCCACTTTTCTCATCCTCATTTGTATAAAAAAGCTCACCTACACACTCAAGATAAAAGAGATAATCCTATGTAGTTTGTTCCCCAAACTCAGAATAAAACCTGCAGATAAAAACATCCCCCCGGGGTTTGTAACAGCAGCCCAGCAGGCCAGCTCGGACGCAACACGTGCCTGAAGCAAGCACTTCTACTAAAATCCAAACTGAACTCGGATTTCTGAAGGACCATATCGATCCACTCTACCTTTGATCCATCTCCTTCTGAATTTCTTTATTTAATTCGTCCACCTTCTGTTGGAGCTTCTTCCTTCTCTGTTCGGGCGGGAGGTTGCTGAAGTCCTCCGGCGCTGCACCCTGCAGACCGAACAGAAATAGGCCAGGGAAGGCCGGTGGGCCTCCTCGCACATAGACAGGGAGGTGGCCAGCAGGGCTGGTCCCCAGACACCAGGGCGTGCGGATGTTTGTGAAATAAACCCAGCCTTTTCCCACGACACCAGCCGAGGCAGAATCCGTGCATGCAGACCAGTCCCCAAAGCCGCTGCGAGCTCCGCTGAGGCCGCGGCCACTCCCAAAGGCAAGAGCGATGCTGCAGGAGGGGAGGGCGGAGGAAACACTCAACTCGGGGAGGATCCAGACAAATCTGAGACGAACCTTCCCTCTGTCTCAGTGTCGGTGGCCACACTGAAGTTTAAGGCCATTTCAAGTTCAGGTTTCTTCATAGAAAACAGTGCCTGTTTCTTCATAGAAAACAGTACACTGCTCCCCGAGTCTGAGTATTGCTTCCCGTCTCTCCCCCAGACCCCAGGCCGAGGCCAAAAGTTCCCATCCCCGAAAAGTGACATGGACAGCGAGTTCCTCAGAGAATGTGGGTGAAAAGGGTTTTGTTTATTTTAAAAATAAAACCTCCCCTCCCCCCATGCACTCTTGGCCCTCTGCCCCTGGAGGTCTGGACGTGCCTTTGGGCCATCGTTAGGGTAACCTCGGGACATGCCTCAGAATCAGCGCCTGCAGGGTGTGGAACCGGCCTCGGCTGCTCTCCTCTGTCTGAACATAGTTTTGTATCTCGATTCCCTTTCGAAAACAACCGCTATCATCCCTCCGTGCATGCGATTTAAGGGGAAAACACCAGCAGCGAGCGTGTAGACTTACATACGCTTCGCTTGTTAGAAGCTCAGTGATGGTTATCAAGTCCTTTCACTTCAATGAGGCAATTTTCATAAAGAAAGAGAAGTTTATTCGATGACCAGGGCTAAGCCAAGGGCTTGAGACAAGAGATGTTCCTTTGGAACCGATCACACAAAGGCAAGGCCGGCTTGGGGAGTGGGTGGGAAAGAAGGGACCTGGATAATGTCACTCCCGAGTTGAGCTGGGTCTGCCGAGCGGCTTACACGGGGGGCTTGCGACCCAGGTTCCCAGGCCGCTTGTGCTAAACGGCCAGGCTGTGGGCTGGAAGTGTGACTCAGCAAATAGTTCAGCACCAGGACCACACAAAGGCTAGTGTTCTCAAAGCCGCGTGTGTGTGTGTGTGTGTGTGTGTGCGCGCGCGCGCGTGCGTGTGTGTGTGTGTGTGTGTGTGACAAAGAGAGAGAGAGAGAGAGAGAGAGAGAGAGAGAGAGAGAGGAATAGTAAGATGTAAGACCACAATGGAAGTGATGCTTCCCTAATGCCAAACCAAGGACTCGATTCACCTCTAAAACTAAAATGAAGCAAACTAACCTCCAGTATGAAACAACCGGCTGTTTTTCCTCCCCGTACACCATCCCGCTCTAACACCTGAAACCCTGCTTTTCAATGTGCGCGATTCCATCGCTTCCGAGAGCTCAGCGGCTTGTTCTCCGGCCGAGTTTACGAGAAGCAAATCAGCACGTGACCTAGAAGTGAGGTTCGCGCTGTTTGCTCTGTCTTGTTCCTCAACAAAACGCAGTGTGGGATCCACTGCATCAGAAGGCAGGAGCTCCAGCAGGTGGTCGACGCGAGGTCGCTGATGGCATGAGCCTTCCTCTGTGCGGAGGCTGAAGAACTGCCTACGGTGCTGCGAATGGCCCGCGTCCGCACCGTCCCGCACAGGAGCCGTATATACGTGGCTGCTGAGCTGGTGGAGAGTGGTCCGTGCAACTGTGGAACTGAATTTTAAACTTTTATTTCATTCTAATTAGCTAAGATTTAAATAGCCCCGGGTGTGAGTGGCCACCATGTTGGGGACACAGGTCTAGATGAACAGGTGCAAGACTTGCATGGATGGGAAAACAGCTCAGAGACTAGTGTAAGCAAAACACACTGTGCTTGTGACTTGCAATAACGAATTCGTGAATTCTTCCCAGCGGATCAGGCGTCAGTCTAACTGACCCGTGAGGCCCCCTCAATAGATCGCCTACGTTTCCGTGTTGTTACTTAAAACGAACCTCGGTCACTATGGCTCCCACAAGCCTCGTGCTGCTGTGGAGGCTCAGGCCGAAGCTTCTAGATCCGGAGACACAGGGTTCCGGGGAAACCTTAGCAGCCCTTCTGCCCAATGAGGCTTCCGAAGCTCGAATTCCTTTACACAATACCCTGACCTAGGATTCCTGTTGCCACGAAGGCGTGTATATTTACAGCTTTGAGTCAGAATAGAGGTTCTGCAATCTCGGGAGCACCGGGTACAGAGGACCAGGGCACTGGTCTTGGAAGGAGGGGCCACACACACATGTGCATGTTAAATGGCTGTGGCTCCAGGAGACCCTGGTTTATGGCTCCTGGGACCGAACGCGTGCCCCGAGCACTCCTCCCAAGCAGACGAGAGCAAGCTGCTTCCTGAGGCTGGAGGTTTGGACCCCCAGCCATGTTGGGTGACTTCGCTTTTTTATTCGCTTTAAAGTGATGGTCTAGGCCAGTGGTCGGCAAACTGCGGCTCGCGAGCCACATGCGGCTCTTTGGCTTCTTGGGTGTGGCCACAAAGTTTCAATCACACTGTACGTGCGCACCCGCACGTGGTATTTTGTGGAAGAGCCACACTCAAGGGGCTGCAGTTTGCCGACCACTGGTCTAGGCAACAACTCAATACCAGGTGGGTAGAATGATTTCTATCTCAAACCAGAAAGACTGCCTGACAGCATGGCCTTCTGCTGGGAACACCACAGCAAAAGGGCACGTGAGGGCAAGGAGGCCCGGCGTCCGAGAGGCCCTGGTTAACCGGTGCCGCCTCTCCCGGATGCCTGCCACTGAGGAACGCGGTTCCCATGAGCATCCGGATCTTCCCTTCTTGTCCTTAATCAGGACTTGTCTCGAGATTTTTATCTCAGCCCAAGAAATGTTCAACTTAATAAAATATTCATTTTCTTTAGGGCTGTGTCATCAGTTGCCAGATACTGAGTCAGGTTGAAAAAATTCTGTATATATGCAGATGCATACACACTTACACATGCGTGTATGTACGAATCACTGTGAAATAGCATCCGCATTAGCAACTGCAGAGCACAAAGTGCCCATCTGGCTCCTGGCGGAGCTGTCACCGTGATCACTGGCCATAGGTCAGGGTACTGTTTGAGAAGGTAGCTTACACACACCTGAAGTGGAGCTGTGGGTTATGTTGGTTAAGATTCTCTTTTAGTACATGGAGTGATTAGTTTTGTTCACGAGGGCTGTACAAGTAAGGAGAAACAACACGGAACACTGAGTCCATCAGCTGGGAGACAGAGGCTCTGCACGGTCCACACATCACCTGGTGGTTCCTCCAATCAGCTAAGCACAGGCACCAACGCATTGAAGAAGCGCCTTGGGGAGGTCATGGTTCTCCGTCCGGGGGCCGCTCAGACCGGGTGTGAGCCTGGCATCGTTCCTGCGTTTGTCATGGGCTCTGTGGCTCTCAGGGAGGAGCATCTTACAACGATTACATTTACTTTTATTCTAAATGAGCCGATACATAGACTCCCCGCGACTCAATGTGTATGTTCATATTTAAATAAAGAACATTTGTCATCGTTTTAAGGCTCCGATAGTAAAAAACAAACACCATAGCCGAAATCAGGAGTTAAGCGTTAATTTTCTTAGCAACTTGGAAAGATGAAGATCTGTTAGGAGATCTATTAGATTCTCAGCCTTCGTGCTATGAAAGTCTAAGTCTGACAAAGACAGAGCCACGACAGCACACACAGGAGAAGCACAGGCCAGAGTGAACGGCGAAGGCAGGAGGCACGGGGCGGGCACCCAGAGGACACACAGGGGAAACCTGGTTAGACCAGGGCATGCAGGGGACAATCGTGCTTACCAGCTTGAGAGAAAGCTTCATGGACAAGTTCAAGGGGGTGACGGGGAAAGAGAGAGAGAGAGAGAGAACACATCAGAAGGAGAGGAACGTGGTCAGCTCCACCGCGTTAACATCGCAAATCCACCTGCCGCTCCGTGGAAATGGCTTGGAGCGGATCTGTGCAAAGTTCACAAGAGAGGCCATCCCACCGAACCTCCCCTTAGCTGCCGTGTCGCCAACGCAGAGCACAGGTAGGAAGGCAGGGTTTCTGTTTGTAGTGCTGTGGGGCCCCATCAGCCCGGAGAGAAACGAAAATAAGTCTGTAGTCGCTGGCATGTAACGATCATAAAAGACAGCCTTTTGTTCACCAAACTTGCTGCAGACTAGAAGTCTGAGAAGCAATCACTTCCACAGCAGGCGGGTTATATTTCCACGTGAAGGAAATCTAATGAATAGGAACACTGGCGTTTCTTATAGGCACGTGAGCAAACTCTCAGACTGCTGAGCAGCAAACCAAGGACTGGAAGCTGCTCTGAGAAACTGCCTCAGGAGCCAGAAAGCCTGGGCACCAGGCGGAGGAGGAGGCCCAGCGCCCACCCGGGCAGGGTGGTCACAGGCTTTCCATCCGCTGAGCCCTGCCCACAGGGGGTGCGTAGCACTTGGGGAATTAGCAGGAGCAGCTGCTCTAGAACCTGAGCTTTGGGAACTAGACAGCCACTGGTCTCAACAGCCAAGGCCACTCCTGGCCGGGGCCTCGGGGGCCATCATCTGGAGCCTGCAGCTGCCATCCTGCCGGGCCTGACGGTGAGCAAAGGTGTAGTGATTACTGGGCCCCAAACAGACAAAAAGGTCTCCCAAAATTCGGAGAAGAAACACTTGGTTCTGCATTAACAGGTGAGACCTGCTCTGTGGCCATAGAAGCCAACCTGACAGTTTGGTGCCTCTGAGCTGCTGCCAATCCTAGGGGTTCAGGCAATGGGGAGGGGACCCAAAACTATCTCGGAGGCAAAGTTTCACAGAAAGTGCCCTTTCCTTTCCATTAGGAGGCGGGAGGGTGTTCAAATTCCTCAACCAGATTTAGAAAGTCTTATTCTGAAGACGAACTCAAAGTCTACACTTCTTTGTAAACAGGCTGAACTTTCAGAGAGATCGTCTGTAGGAGGAAAAAGCAGACTTTCAAGGAAAGAGGTTGCAAGACAGAGCTTGGGGGGAGGTGCAGACAGCCGTGGCTGTTCTGTGGGCAGCGATGGTGGCTCCCTGAACCGCTCCTGTGAACTTGGCACAGACCTGCTCATCACAGTTTGAGTTCTTTACAGACAACGCTCATGGTGCACAGCGGGAAACTCTGCAAATACCTTCCCCCCAGAGCACACGGCCATAGACGGATGTTTCTTGCACATTCCCGTTCAACACCGCTGCCTCGAAGAGCCTGGGATTGGAACTCGGCAACTATCTGCTTTCTATTCAGCTACTTCTGTTTTTCAAAGTTACATAGTCTTTCTTAAGCATTCTAAAATACAGGATTCTGCCCTGGCCGGTGTGGCTCAATGGACAGAGCGTTGGCCCTGGTACAGAAGGGTCCCAGGTTCGATTCTGGTCAAGGGCATGTACCTCGGATGCATGTTCCCCAACTCTGGGCTGCGAGCAGGAGGCAACCAATAGATGTGTCTCTCTCACATTGATGTTTCTCTCCCTCTTCCTTCCACTCTCTCTAAAAATTAATGGGGAAAATATCCTCTGGTGAGGATTAACAAAAATAAGTAAGTTAAATAAAATATAGGATCCTAACATCAAAACGAATAGCCTAAGAATATTGCCACTTCATAATAGTAAGTCGTTAGGATTGAGAATAAATGCCAGTAAAAATAGGAAGTACCAAATCCTGGGACACATTCCACTTTCCCGCCATCACAGTACTTGCTACTGCTTGAAATGATTAGGAACCGGTTCTTGGTCTTACGTTGTAAGCCAGCCAGTTAGATGTTTTGCAATTAGAAACCGAATCATCTGCTACAGGGACGTTTTAAAGGCTGCGTACGGTGCGTTGCGAGGCCCTGGAGTACTGAAAAGCTGTCAGTGTCAGGTGACAGTTATGGAGCCTGGGAGCCATGAGGTCAAGAGCACATGAGAACAGAGAGCTAGCGCATCCATGTTACCGGCAGTCACAGGTACTAACCTCAAGTACAAGAAAGGGGACCACGGAAATAAACATCTGAGCAAGGTGTGCGAGGGCCACCGAAAGTCAGTCCACTCCTCTGTGACCTTGCGCATGCTTCACGGACTTAGGGGGCTCTCCAAGCTTTATGGGGTGACTCCCTTTATGGGGATCATCTGTTACGGGTGTGGAAGTGGGTGACCGGGCCACACAACTGTCATCTGGAGGAGCGTCACCCTCCTGTGACCAGGCTCCGCAGCTGCATTTTATGGGGGAAATCCTGCCGTAACATCTTCTCAGACTGCAGTCACCCTCCATGGAAAGGGGAAAAACCAAGCTCCGCTTACTGACATTTTTAGGAAGTTTCATTGTTATTGGGAAGCTTGGTTCCTTTTTCCATACAAGTTTCCCGGATGAAGTAGCCTGGGGTTGAATTTATACAATTAGACTTTTTTCTCCCCGGCTGTCCGGGTCTCTCAATTGAGAATTTCATTTCTCGGTGGAAGCCTACCAGAGCGCACTGGGTCCCCGGTCTTGGTGGTGGCAATGGGGTTAGTGCCTGTGCCGTGACTGCGGGGCCTGGCCGTCACATACACTTACAACATAGTCCCTAGCTTCAAAAGCATACGTGGGTCTCCCTATCGTCCTCTTCTTGAGTTCTTTGTGGAAACAGAAAGACTGAGTCTGCCAATAATCAGCAAGAGAACAGGATACAATGAATAAAATGGAAGTAACCATAGGATTGTAACATCTGACAAACAATGGGTAAGGATTTTCAAAATCATTTGAGCAAACTTTGGTGGCATTTCCCCATATAATTAACTCTAAAACATGGGACAAAAAGGACCGCACTTTAGATTTAGAAGTCCTTTGCTCAGACCGGAAAAAGAAATTCTAATTTAAGACAATGAAATTACACTTTGTAGATGGCAAATTGAGAACATCCTACCTAGGGTAGAGATGAAATAATGGTTAGTAACGCTCAAGTGGCATGCCAATCTTTAAAGATGTTCAATGAACCAACATTTTCTTACAACTGTCACTGATTTACAACAAAAAAGATTTTATCCTGTGTAATTATTTAGAAACAAAATTGGCTAAGAATTGTTTGCACAAGATTTATACATCCTGGTACAGCAACTATTTCCATCTGGATCTGACAGCTGCAAACACGATACATTAAAAGACACATTGAAGTCACAGATTTGTTATCTTCCTAGGATACTTTTCCTATCTGAGTAGTCTTCATGCTCAAAATAGAATAAACAAAATTGTGGCAAGGACTGTATCATTCTAGTCATGTGCCTTCTGTTCTGAAATTGCTTTAAAATCAAATTTATTCCCCCAAACTTCAGATTTGTTTTTTGTTATGAATTTCCTAATCCCGCTTCTATAATCTATTTCCTTTATCTTTTTTCCTTCTCCTTTTGCTTTCTTTTTTTGCACTGCTACTTCAGATTTGAAGGGACATCAAATCTGACCCGACTAACACAGAGTAACAAAAATATGTGTGTGCATGTGTGTGTAAAAGAAAACACTCACCATTTAGGAAAATTTTGAACAGAGGTTTGCTGAACATAGAATTGAGGGGTAAAAAAATAAAATTCATTGTGCTAGTTATGGTTAAAAAAAAAAAAAAGAGAGCGAGGAGGGGTCCTTTAAATGATCAAAATAACCAGTTCCCTATTTCACTGTTTTTTTGTGTGTGTGCTTAAGTGTTATATTTTTTTCTTGCCATCTTTTTCTTACACTTACTGATCACTGACATTCTTGGGTCTTTTCCTGAACACTGAGAGGACCCTGTGGTCTTTGTCCCTTATTTTAAGTTATCTATGACACAGTTACCCTCCTTTTCACACAGAAGGAGGGACAGTAGGATTTATGTTTGTGCAGGAACATCCCACGGCCGCTGGGCCGCAGCTGGGTGTGCGGAGGCACCCACGGTTACTCCTGATAACCATGCTTATTTATTCCTTATAAAGGGAGGCGGGGCAGCTCGGACGGACAATTTAGATGTATTCAGATGCCGCCAATACTTCATTCCAACCTTTTCTAACTGCTCTCTCCTCTGGGTTACTGTGACTTAAGCACATGCAGCCGTAATGAGACCGCCCACCTGAGTCTAAACCACCCCCGCAATGAGTCACCAGTGTTATAACAGATTCTCTCTCAGTGCGGATGTCACAGAACCCCAGCCTGTGAACAGGCCCCCTGGCTCTAACTCCTGGCTGTCCATCTTTCTAACTTTACCTTTTTATGCCTCAGTTTTCTTATTTTTCATAAAATAACCCAAGTAAAGTAAATGAGCGTGGAGAACAGAGTCTGGCATGTAATAAGTACTCAATAAACGCCGGTGAATCTTACTTCACCATTTAAAGATAAATATCGCATCAGGCCTTCTCCAGTCAGACATTCTATGGGAATTTTTATCAACATCTCCTCCGTTCACCAGAAGAGCTGAAAAACCACTGGGATCCATATCTCATTGGACCCGGAGGGAGGGCTCAGAGAGAGGTGTCCTTGTTACCCTCACGTCGTTTCAGTAATTAATTATTAAGGAAATATATCCCGACTACACAGTGACTTCTAATTCCTCATCTCACAGGGCGCTAACTTTAGAAACTGAATCTTGAGTTTCCCTTTTTTGGTAAAATCAGGGTAAAATATTAATGACCTGAGTGTTTTAAAAGGGAAGTGGAGAAAAGTCCTTCTGGAATGCACTGAAGGCAGAAAGAACTCTGGGCGGGATGGCTCCTTCCAGCCACCCTGCTTCCTTCCTCCTCTCTTCCTCCTCTTCCTAACTGCCTGTCTCAGGTCACAGGTCCTGACTGCTTTCCGTGGTGGGAAAACACAATGAGTTCATTCACAAACAAAACGAGTTACGCAGAGCAAACCATGCAACCAGAGCCCACGCGAGAGACAGGGTTCGGGCAGGACTTACCCCTCGCTTTAGGCTCCTGAAGCAGTGGATTTTGGGTTTGGAGGTCATGAACTCGTTGAAGCGATGGGAGAGGGGTTCCTTTTGCTGCTTGGGAGACTGGGGGCCGTTGGGAACAGCAGAGGGTGAGGCAGAGGCAGGGGGAGGAGGGGGAGGCTGATGGGGGGATGTTAAAAGGGACATAAGCTACGTGTAAGAGATGGAGCAGTGACAGTAAACATCAGAGACAAGAAGATAAAGACACAAAACAAAAATAAGCATCAAATAATAATTGAGATCCAAAGCAAGTAAAACACAAACAATTAAATATTTAGGCCATGGTCCAAAAGAAAACATGGGAATATGTCAGAATGAAGGACAGGATGAAAGTGGGGTTTTTAGTAAGTAATGCAGAGAAGAACAGCAAGAAATCTTTGACAAGCAGCCCATGCGGACTTTCACATGCAAATTATAGTTCTAACCAGTTACTCTAGACCAGTGTAAGCCAGAAGGGTAAACATTTGGAACCACCTAAACTTACACAGTATGATGGGAGAAAACGGAAGACCTTAAATGCTAGGGCTGGGAAAACAGCAAGATAGTTTTTTTTTAAAATTAAAGAGTAAATATTCTAAGGGGAAAGCAGTCATGTTGCCTCGATCATATTTTATCCCCAGGTTAATGCCGTCATGCACCTACGTGTTACACTATAAAAGAAAACGGAAAATGTTCATGGATCCGAGTGTTAGCACGAGTTCAAAACCAAGTTACTAGCCCACGGAAACCGTTGCAGGTAGAGATGCCGATAAGTGGTTACAGGAGTCTGCACCCTCCCCTTCTCCAGCCCACGTGACCAGCCGTCTAAGGAGCGAGAGGCGTGATGGGAAATGGTGAGGTCAGGCATCTGTTAGTGTGGGTGACAATGCATCTGAAATTGGACAAATGGCCATGGCAAAGGTACCACCACCAGAAAGAAGACTGTTTTAAAAGAAAATAGCACACTGGCCTTATTTTTTTTTTGGTATTCTAAAGCTACAGGTTTAGGATCCTAGTATTTTTTTTTAAGACTAAAAGATAAAATCAAAATCTGCACACTTTATCAAACTCATTCACACCAGGTACCAACCGCCAGTACCTTGTTTTTCTTGATGAACGGCCATAACTTTCCTTTGGGTTTGCCCCCAAATTTAAGCTCTGCTTTGCCTTCTCCTCTGGAATTGGAAAGGCTGTTTTCCGACACGGTGCGCTTCATCGGCTGCGTGTAATCCTCAAATTCGATATCTCCGGGAGGCTCAAACCCTGACTTGTAGGCCTCTATGACCAGCTGTGAGTCCTGAAATTATACCCATCACACACAAACACATTCAAATACATGTAAATGCTTTTTACACAATGAATTATGTTTACTGCATAGATGTTATTCTCAGGAAGCTACATTAATTGATAAGAAACATTTTTTCTAGTAATAACTTTATCATTAGAAAGAATAATTTGTAACACTATAAGTTGAGTTGAGGTTTGAAGATACTTTCAATAACCAGTTTTCTGCATTTGGAAAAACAAATATTAATTAAGAACTTGGCAAGCCTGGCCAGTGTGGCTCAGTGATTGAGCGTTGACCTATGAACCAGGAGGTCACAATTGGATTCCCGGTCAGGGCACATGCCCGGGTTGCAGGCTCGATCCCCAGTGTGGGGCATGCAAGAGGCAGCCGATCGATGATTCTCTCTCACCGTTGATGTTTCTATCTCTCTCTCCTTCTCCTTCTCTCTGAAATCAATAAAAATAAAAGAACTTGGCTAAACACAGAGAAATTGGGCTATTATAAGCAATTCCCTGAAAAAAATACAGTTACACAAAAATCTATTTCCTATCAGAAATTCTTAAAGCAATTTAGCATAAAAGTCAGAGCAAAGAGTAGATGACCTCTCTAATTTCTCAGTTCATTGTGATGCTAATTTATTACATAATTTTACTTCATGTATATATTGCTCAGTCTCTCCTCTGCTAGAAAGTAAAGTTCTCCTCCTTTTGCTCTACCGAATCCCTAGTACCTAGCTGGCACCAAATGTGCTGGACGAATCAATGCACCGGATGCCTACTCCTCGGCGTGCACTCTGCTAGGCACATCGGGTCAACATGTCCTCAGGGGGCTCAGAAAGTTACAAGCACAGTGCCCTAGATAAAGGAGTCCATGCACAGATAAAGTATTACAAAAACACGAGTGATTGGTAATAACATTCTAGCTCGATGGTCATCTAATTAAAAAACCCACAAAAACTAGAGAAGATCATTTGAAAAGATTTCAACTGATTAGCCATAGTTATTGTAGTTAAAAGGGAAACCACCATTCTGACATAACCTTGTGAGATTGTAAATGTCTTTTTCAAGGAAAAAGACATTTCCGAGCTTCTAATGTAAGAAATTAAAGTCGGGCTTGTTTCAGGGAAGTCAAGATTGGAGACTTAACTTCTAAACCCACCATTACTATTTCCCTTGAAAGGCCCTCTCCGCACAGTGACGCGCTGGTGACTGTGGACACTGTACACAGGGTGGTTAATCGCTGAGACTGGCGTGATTTCCGTCCATGAGCCAGGCACATAAAACCACCCAAAGCCTTTGAACGAACTGCAGATGCAGAGACGCATGGAAGTAAAGGGTCAGTGGTGATGGGAAAATGGCAGGGGCGCTCAAAACATGGAAACCCAGACAGCGCGGAAGAAGCTACTGTTGACACCGAGAGCAACGGCCTGTCACGAGAAGGTTGAATGAGGTCACCTCCCAAACTTACAGTTTTCTCATCAATGCACTCGGCCGCCTTCACTATTCCATCCAAGCACTTCCCAATGATTGGAATCACCTGCCGGTCGACCTCCGCATAGGTCTTCATGGATTCTCCGAGTCTCACTATCCTCCGCTCCTCCATCTCTTGTATTTTCTGTAACATCAGATTTTGTGTAAAATTCATCTGCCCACGGCTGTCATTTAACGATGCTGTTTTTCAGCAGCACTGCTACCATGAGTCAACTGTCCAGTAAGCAAACAGACCCATAAAAAGCAACTGTAAGGTTATTGCTCCCTGTACACGCATTTTATGAATTGGTGGGCTGCCCAAATGTATACTTCACACAATTCCACTCCTATTTCAGCAAGAATCCCAAACTCAGGTACTTTTAGTATTAACACCATTTGGTATTAGATTTCACACATTTCCTTCATCTTGGATGCACTGCTTTACCCTTTACCAAAAGCACAGTATTTGGTTAACTGTCTCAACCCAAGCCGGGCTGGGGTGTAACTAGCGCAGCTTCCTTCTACGAGGTGGGGGGCTCTTGTTCGCGTGCGTGCAGATGCTATGAAGCAAAGAGCTATTGTTTTTTCTACAACTGCACTTGAGGTTGTAAAAGATTCCCAAAGTGAGAGAACATGTGTGTATCTTTTTTGTTTTGTTTTGTTTTAAGGCTTAAATATCTTTTCTCATACCATTTTTGAAAACATAAAGGAGTCAAAAGAAAAACAATTCGAAGAACTGTCACCTGTTCAAATCTTACACCTATGAATGCTAATTGATTCCTAAAGTTAAGTTGGCTTTTTTTTGGGGGGGGGGGCGGTGGCGTGGTAACTAGAACGGTCCTTTTAGCAAATGGGGGGGGGGAGGCGGTGGCGTGGTAACTAGAACGGTCCTTTTAGCAAAGGAAGCGTTAATTTAAGAACCACAGTTCTGCCCTAACCGGTTTGGCTCAATGGGTAGAGCGTTGGCCTGCAGACTCAAAGGTCCCAGGTTTGATTCCGGTTAAGGGCATGTACCTTGGTTGCAGGCACATACCCATTAGGGAGTGTGCAGGAGGCAGCTGATGGATGTTTCTCTCTCATCGATGTTTCTAACTCTCTATCCCTCTCCCTTCCTCTCTGTAAGAAATCAATAAAATATATTTAAAAAGGAAAGAAAAAAAGAACCACAGTTCTAGACTCTGGGGCAAACCAAGGAAGCTACCAAGGCTAGTGATGAATCTTGAGATGAACAGTTTACTTCGTTTTACTGCGAGTCTATGTCGGAATGCTCCACAAAATGACTTGGGTTAGAGGAAATTGAGAATTACATAAATAACGTAGAATATAACCAGCAACCACAATCCCAAAGCCACACATTTCCTAGAAAGACAAACTGACCTGGAATATGTTGGGAATGTGAGTGTGGTAATACTCGCGCTGCTCATGGTTGAATTTCTGAAGAATCGATGAGTAATCAGCTTTGCTGTCCTCTGCCATTTGGTGACGTACTTGAGCTTGTTGTCGTGCCTGGGGGCAAAAAAATGAGAATATCCCCATGTTTACAGAGATCAAATGAAAGCCTAGAATTGCGAACCGGAGGGGCTGGGCTCAAATTTACCTCAAATGTGTTGTATTTAGCAGGTGCTATATTTTTAAAGATTATAGTTTACAGTCCACATTATTTTGTATCTGTTCCAGGTGTACACAGCAGAGTGGTTAGACAATCATATACTTTACAAAGTGTTTCCCCTGACATTTCCTACCTACTTGGCACTGCACACAGGTAATAAGTATTATTAACTATATTCCAAATGCTGTACTTTACATCCCCATGAGTTCTGTAACTACCAATTTGCATCTTTATTTTTTATTGATTGATTGATCTTAGAGAGAGAAAAGAAGGGGGTGGGGGAGAAAGAGAGAGCGAGAGAGAGAAACATCACCTTGTCATTCCACTTATCTATGCATTCATCAGCTGATTCTTATATGTGCCCTGTCTAGGGACTGAACCAGAAACCTTGGCATAGTGGGACTATGCGCTAACTAATTGAGCTACCCGGCCATGCTACTGCAAATGGTAAGATTTCATTCTTTTTATGGCTGAGTAATAATTCCTTTGCATATATGTACCACATCTTCTTTATCCATCCTCTACTGATGGGCACTTGGGTTGCTTCCATATCTTGGCTATTAAAAACATCGCAGGTGTTATTTTTTAAAAATGGTTTAGAATTAGAATTTCCTTTAGGTAAGGAGATGTGTTCTGATTTGTCACAAACCTCAGCATTCTGTTGTCTAACTTGGCGTTCCTGTCTAGGGAGACACCAGAGTCAGCGTTCTTTCTCACCTGCACCTGCAACTTGCACTTGGCCACATTCACAGATTTGTGTCGCCTGGATGGGCCTGGTGAGAACTTCTGTGTATATAAATATATATAGGACATTGTGTACATATATGTTTTCTTCTTAAGGAGGAGGACATGAGGGAATCCATACATTTTTAAATTCAATTCTCAGTGGGGTTCATGAACAAAAAAGGCATATGAACCATGATCTAAACGGACTTTCTAAAACTCCCCACATTTATTTGTCGTTATACTGTAAGGAAGCAGTAAGCCTGCGCCCTCTTTGTGCTTTTTATGTTTTGGTGTATATGCTATTTTGTGGGCTTTCTCCATTCCCTCCTTAATAATCAAGAATAAAATTCACCAATTTGTTCCCTCTTCTAATCCATATTTTGGTTTCTCACATACCTACAGGGGGAGGAGCAAGTGTTGACATGTTACAGAATGGATGTGAAAGCTCCAGCCAGATCCCAGGGATAGTTAGGCTGGTGATCCATCCTACACTCACCCAGCACTTGGAGGGTCCCTAGATAACACTGCTCAGGAACTCCGAGACGGGAGGGGGGGGGGCACACCAGACCACACCCACCGCTGCCAGAGGAAGAGAAGGCTTGGCTGGCAGCTGACTTGGCAAGCCTGCCACACTGAGCCAACAACACCACAGGAAAAGGGCTTGTTCCCACATAACCAAGGCAACTTTTTGTTTGTTTGTTTTTTGCCTTGTTTTATGAACCCAATAGTTGGAAAAAAAAAAAAAGAAAGAAAAAGAAAAAGAAAGAACAGGAACGTTCAAATGTAAACCCTAAGCACACACGTGGGGGTTGTTCATCCCTTCCTGGCTGGTCGTTGATAACATCTCCGCTGGTTTGTAGCATCGCAGGGCTTTGCTGGTTTCCTGCCTGTGACGTGAAAGCTCACCTGGTTCTCACTTCCTGACTCACTGATTCATAGGCGCACTGGTCAAGGCCCAAGGTGGTCGCTGGGAGAGGCTTCCTTTACTCCCTTCCCCATGCATACAGACACTTCCCAAACCCGGTACCGGCATCAGCAGAGCCAAACGAGTTTCCTTATTGCCTGACGTGTCTCAGTTTCTTGAGGCCTCAGGTACCTCAAAACCACCATATCATTTCTCATCTCCCCTTGGGTATTTCAGCTGCCACTCCTTCTGACGCCCGTCCTGTCCTGTCCTGACCATATGCTGTGGCTTCCGCTTCTATTGCATCTCAGTAAACACAGAATCCGTCCCCAACACGCTACGTGCCCAGCTACCCTGACAACCCCACGCCCTCCTCCGCTAAATCGCTTCCCCGCCTACGCGCACTCCATCTGTCCCTCTCAGGCCACCAACTCGAAGTCCTCTTAACTCTTTCAATTACCTAGACTTTACCTTCATCACTTGGTTACGAATATGAAAAAACACAAGGGAATTCCCAGGCCTCAGATGTCTAAAAAATTCTCTATTTCATTCACAAACCTTCCTCAGAAAAAGACACAAAAACCCCAGGGGCAGGGGAGGGCTCGCCACTTCTGTACACAAGAATAACAAGCAAGAAGACGGACAGTCCCCTGTTAGTTTTGGAGAAATGATTCTACCTCGGTGAATTTTAGAAACAGCTTCGTTCTGAAGCAGAGATCAGTACGTCATTATTACATACAGGGTGTCCCCCCAAAATGCATGCAAACTTAGAATATAGTTTATTAAAATGCATTTCATTTTCATTTAACAGCTACCAGCTGTGAAAGTGTGTATACATTTTTGGGGGACACCCTATATATATACATATATGTACGTATGTATTTACGCATGTACGCGCACACACACGCCACATGAGCGTGTCCTCAGGATATTTTGACACCCTATATATATACATATATGTATGTATGTATTTACGCATGTACGCGCACACACACACGCCACATGAGCGTGTCCTCAGGATATTTTTCTGATGAGATCTGGGGGCGAGCCCTGTGGAGGCCCCGAAGCACCATGTGGGAGGAAGTGGCTGTGATCCGCTTCCTCCTCCCTCCCCAGAATCTCCAGCGATGTCTTCGCCTTGGCTCTCTGATGGCCTTTGTAAGCATATTCACTCATAATAGTTTCCTGATGTCCTTTCATATAACTAGGGACTACTAGTGTGAACTGTGGAAGCGACCGAAATAAGCAGCCACATGTATCAGCTGAGCAGAAGGAAAGGCAGACCAACATCCGCCAGAGGGAATGGGGATGTTCCAGAAGCGGGTCTCCCTGGGAGCTTTTCTTGAGTGCCAAAGCTTGGCCAGAGATGGCACACGTCCATGCATTTCTACAGCCTCCCTCTCGCCCACTGGAAGGATAGAGAAGCACTTAAAGGAAGCAAAACCTTGTTGTACATTCAATTCTTCAAGGTCACAGCAGGAAGGCAGGACTGTCTTAGCCTCCATCCCCGCACCCATCTGCTTTGAATTAATCCCCGCTTTGGAATCCCGAGCCCAGGAATGTGCCATTGTTCTGACCAAGTTTTAATATGGAAAATCTTTTTCTGTTTTGTAAGCTGTTGTGTTTATTTTACGATGGAAAGAGCCAGCTCAATCAGTTACTAATTATAACAGGTATATTTTTAGAACTATCTTTAATAGTATTTTCAAAAATTATCTGAAGTAACCAATTACTAACTAGATGTTTTAGAAAGTGCACCTCCTCATGTACTAGTATATGCTACACGAAGGTTAAAGCATCACTATTTCTCATTTCTTTTTAAGTCAGTCTAAAAATAGCCACTATTATCTTAAAGAGGTACAGTAGTTCCATTAATTAAAATTTCCATTCTAAATTTTTTTTTTTAATGAGTCAGAGTCACGGAATTTAGAGATAATCTAAAAAAACCCAGAATGACCACAACTGCAGAAGACTGTAAGTCACACACATCTTTGAATAAGACCTACTCCACTTTCACTGTCAATCACAAAGACTGAATTTAAACTTGAGAATTTCTGTTACAAGCCCTTGGGAATCTCCCCAAATAAATTCAAATAGAAGTATGTACTGTTTATGCATGAGTTCACTGCTAGGTAATTCTTTTTTTTTTTTAAATTTATCTTTATTGTTGAATTACTGGGTAATTCTTTTCTTTTTTAAAATTTTTATTGAGTTTATTGGGGTGACATTGGTTAATAAAATGATATAGGTTTCCGGTGCACAATCGTTTACACCATCTGTGTACTGCATTGTGTGTTCACCACCCAGAGGTAAGCCTCCTTCCGTCACCATTTGGGTAATTCTCAATACCGTCTACCCCCCCACATCCTATGGAAGTACAGCTTCCTGCCTAAGAGGTCAGACTTGCCGTTTCTAAATAAAGGAAACAATATACTAGAAACTGAACTGCAGCCCGATGCTTCTCAACCCGAATGGGCTTAAGATAAAAATATTGGAATGCATTTAGATTGTTAGCACGGACAACGTGTGAAGCGACTTCCCTATTCAACTTCCTGGATCCTGACCGGGCATCGAACCATGACCTCCTGGTTCATAGGCCGACGCTCAACCACTGAGCCATGCCGACGGGGCAGTAATGAGATTTATTACTTTCTTATCATGACCTCAGCCGCCTCAGGATGTGACTCCTGCTGTTCATTAAGGGACACGCCATTCACCGCAGAGCGCTGGGGAAGTCGCCTTTGCCCTTCGCATGTAATATAACGAAGGACAAAACCCTATTTTTTATTACCAAAAATTTGGGGATAGCAAATGAGGAATATTTGACCGCTCTGGTTGCTCAAATAATAGTAAATATTCTCTGAAGCAGCTGTACACTCAATACTTTGTTTCCTCATTATCATCAGAGGAAATGTGTGTGTGTTTTTAATGCAAACAATCTATAAAATGGCAATAATTTAATGATATCAACATCAGTTAATAATTAAATTGTAAAGACATATCTAAAGGAATATAATACATAATGTTCCTAGAATGTTCTGTCACATGGCAGATGCTCAGCTATTATTCATTCAATGATTCTGGAATCAGGTTCCAATGTATATGAACATTTACCATATAGCAAGCAGGTTCCACTGTATATGAACATTTACCATATAGCAAGTTTGTCTTTGTAATGAATATTTGAGCCTTATTAAATAACTTTTCTCATGTGACTACCCAGCATGAGGGAAGATGCTGCAATGTCCGACTCAAGAACTGCTCTTG